TCTCTCTCTCTCTCTCTCTCTCTCTCTCTCTCTCTCTCTCTCTCTCTTGCTGTGCAGATGTAAAATATAGTTTCCCCAATTTGGGGGTATTCTAAAAATTTATAGCTGTTTCTTTACGTGTGTTTCTTGTAAACCAATTATTTCTGTGTCCAATTTTCATAATGGTAAAAAAAAAAAAAATCTTCCTTTAGAAGGGGAATTTAATCCATTTACACTCATTGAGAGGGTCCCCTTTCTTTTCTCCATTTTGCTTAGTTATACTTAGGATTTGGTTTCCTTGTGGTTCTTTTAGTTGGTCTGAAAAGGGGCTACCAGATTCCTCCATACGGCAGGCATCCCAGATGTTGCCTTTTTTGCTTTCTACCTTTCCTCCCTGAGGAACACATGGCAAGTGTTAATCAAGCTTGGCTGCGATGCCACCGTGCACACACACACACACACACACACACACACATATATATATACACACACACACACCTTTGGGGGTTGCCAGAGAACGGGGCCCCTGCTCTTACAACCAGAGTGGGAGCAAACGAAGGGGAGGCAGGGCTGGGATTTCGAGAGTCTCATCTCACTTCTTGTTGGTTTTTGTTTCCTTTCTGTTTGCCTCGTTTCTGTACAGGCTCCTAGGCTGCTCGAAGGAGACAACCAACGATGGGGGAACAAAGATAGAGAATGAGGTAATGGCAGGAGCATCTGAGAAGGATCTTTTGTGAGAGAGCGAAATGGCGACTCCGTAGCCCAAGATGAATGGCTTCTGAGGGGCGTCTTTGTGTGGCACGGCTGGACGGGGCATTTCTCTCTAGAGGACCCTCCGAAAGAGAAAATGGATCTCCCTTTCCTCTTGCCAGTCTCCACCAAGATGACCTCATTCATTTGGAGGACAATGGAGAGTCTGGGCCTTTAAGTTCATAGCCATTACCTCATCGTCTTCGTGGGGGCCGCAGATTAAAAAGCAAAGCCTTGCTCCAGTTCAAGCGCCTGTGGTTGTCATGGCGGATGAAATGAATGGTGCTCAGCTCATCCCCGGAGAGAGGCTGGTGACTTGGCTGGAAAGCAGCATGGAGAAATTGCTCCTGATTGACAGCCGCCCCTTTGTGGAATACAACATGTCCCATATCTTGGAGGCCATCAACATCCATTGCTCCAAGCTCATGAAGCGCAGGTTGCAGCAGGATAAGGTGCTGATCACCGAACTTATTCAGCATTCGGCAAAACAGAAGGTGAGGCGCTGGGAAGCAGAGGGTGGGTTTTTCTTTTTGAGGGGTGGGAGAATACATTTATAGATGATGGACAGAGTTGGGAATTGGCAAGAGATCAACCAACCAGAACAGATCTGGAAGAAACCTTTGAGCTCTTCTAGTCCAACTCCAAGCCCAAGCACTTATACAATTTCAGACAGGTGGGCTGTCCAGTCTTTTCTTAAAAACCTCCATTGATGAAGCACTCACAACTTTGTTCCATTGGTTAATTGTCCTCACAGTTAGGAAGTTTCTTCTTAATTCCAGGTTGCTTCTCTCCTTGATTAGTTTCCATCCATTCTTTCTTGTCTTTCCTTCTGTTTTTTTTTTAAAAAAATAAGTTGATCCCCTTCTCTTTATGGCAGCCCCTCAAACACTGGACTACTGTTATCATGTCAGCCCCAGTCCTTCCTTTCTCTAGGCTAGCCACACCCAATTCCTGCCACCCTTCTTCATACGTTTTCGTCTCCAGGCCTGTAAACGTCTTAGTTGCTCTTCTCTGCCCTTTTTCCAAAGTCTCAACAACTTTATTTTTATTTTTTTGTAATGCTGTCAGATGATGCTGTGCAGGTCTGGCACAAATGATTCTTAAGCAGAATCAAGAGTTTTCTTGATACCGGCCTTATCCTGAGCATCGCTAACAACAATTTGCTCTCAATCCTGAAAAAAATGTGGCTACAATGGAAAGGTAAAATAAACACTCTTGGAAGGAAGAGTTTGATGTTTTATGAACTGAAATAGCCGTAAGGTTTAGCCTTTTCTTTTGTCACTAAAAAAAAACAAAAAACAGTTCACCTCGGGTTAAGCGGATCGCAACTTGTGGCCCTGCCGATACAAACACGAGCGTCCATCCGGTAGAGAAGCCACAGATGACGCATTTGATCTCACTTGACCCCCTCACTCCCCCGAGGATGCTTGTGGACGCCAGTCCCCCACAGAGTCAGAGAAATTTGTCTCGGAGTGCATGAAATCCCCATTCCAGGCTCTCTGGCAGACTTAGCATATTAGGCCTTCAAAGACGAGTGTGCTTTATTTTAACCCGGTTTTTGTTTTGGCCACGATCGTCTGAATGAGTCATAATTTGCAATGAGATCATAACATTGCTTTGCTGTCAGCTAGCGCAACCACAGCGATTTGGTTTACACGTCCAGCCGAGCCAAAGCTTAACAATTGGCAGATTTAGCCCAGTGTGAAAATCAGGGCTATATTTCACTTAATTAATTCATTACACTTGCATCCCCCATTCTTCTGTCAGATTGTGCGCTCGAAATAGCTAACTTTTGGTAGAAGGCAAAATTTAAAACAGTAGGAAAACAATAAAAGGCATAAATTAAAACCAACGTCAACCCCAATCATCCTGCATCCCTGCACTGTTCGGTATTTGCCAAACAGTAAATAAGATTCTGCTTCATTTTTAGTGTTTCAGAATGATCAAATTATGGTCTCCAAATATTCATTCTGAAAGACGTTATTCTCCTAAATAATCTTGCTTTCTTTTTGAATGCTGTTACATGTTCCCAAAGCTCATTGGAGCAATGTATATTTCTTGGAATTATAGCTGAAGAACGGTAATTGAGTTTAGAATTTCCATCATTAAATGATGCATGAATAAAGTGCAACATCACATAACTGCGTGATAGAAACTACAGCATTTCTGGTTGCCGTTGTTAAGCACAATGTCCCCTTGTCATCTCCTCCCAGTGTTCTCATTGGTTTTACATGTAAGAAGCCAACCAAGAAGGCTGCAAATCATGATCACATGACTGTAGGACACTGAGGATCAACACAGCACTAGCAATACCAATAACATTTAGACTTATATACCGCTTCACAGCCCTCTCTAAGTGGTTTACAGAGTCAGCATATTGTCCCCAACAATCTGGGTCTTCATTTAACTGAACTCAGAAAGATAGAAGGCTAGCCGGTGAGAATCGAACTGCTGGCAGTTGGCAGAGTCAGCCTGCAATACTGCATTCTAACCACTGCGCCACCAGGAAGGAGAATGAGAAAGGGAAGGAGGGAGGGAGGAAGGAAGGAAGAGCAATAGCACTTATATACCACTTCACAGTACTTTGCAGCCCTCTCAAGGCGGTTTACAGAGTCAGCCTATTGCCCCCCAATAATCTGGGTCCTCATTTTACCCACCTCGGAAGGATGAAAGGTTGAGTCAACCTTGAGCCTGGTGAGATTTGAACTGCCAAATTGCAGTCAGCTGGCAGTCAGCAGAAGTAGCCTGCAGTACTGCATTCTAACCACTGCGCCACCACGGCTCATATGTAATACAAGGACTGGTCCTAAGTACCACTTGTTTAGCACCATCTTAGTTTGAATGGTTTCTGAATGAGTCTTCATTGAGAAAGGGCTACCTAGTATACAGAAAGCATTTGTCAGGTGTTAAGAATCAGGACTCCATGTTACATTCCAGTCAAACTGATTTATTGTTCAATCCTGTATACAAGAATCCAGTCAACTAAAAGCCAGCAATAAATTGTGCTAGATAAGAGTCAACAGAATTCGAGAGGGGCTGGACTTAGACTGTTGGTAACAACATAAACATTCCAGGCTAATTCCTCTCTTGACTCCACCCTCCGCCTTTCCTTCTCCCACACTTTTACTGCTCCCCAAGGAATTCAATGACTAAATTTGCCCATTGAAGTAAATCCAGGATCCGTATCCCCTTTTGCACTTGTAGGAACGTATCATTGGGCACTCTCACAAAACAGTGGCTCTGGTGGCCTTGGCCACTTTTCACCAGGAGGCAAATAAATCACATTGTTTTATGAGCTTACCCTGAAGACAGCTTGGTTTCATAGTAACAATCAGTACAGCACGAAATTGCCAACATTAGGTAGCAATAAAACATTGTTGATAAGAAATATTGTTGTTTTTTTCCCTGGAAACATGAAACAATTTTGTGCTGATGCCAGCAATGATTATATGCTTCAGGTATTATGTAATCCAACTGTCAAAAGCAAAAGGATAAGAACTGGCCAGTTTTCCAGTTGAATCTCTGCAAGATCATGAAAGTTCGGGGCCCATATATCTTTGATACATCATTCCTGGTGCTACAGCCCCAGGCAAAATGCTTGGGTCTTTTTCTAATATTCCAGCCTTAGCATATTTTTCTGTGTTGAGAAAGAAGCCAGAAGTTGGGAAACAAGAGGGATTAAGAGGCATGGTGGTACAGTGGGTGGAATGCAGTATTGCAGGCTAACTCTGCCCACTGACTCAAGGTTGACTCAGCCTTCTATCCTTCCGAGGTCGGTAAAATGAGGACCCAGATTGTTGGGGGCAATATACTGACTCTGTAAACTGCTTAGAGAGGGCTGTAAAGCACTGTGAAGCGATATATAAGTCTAAGTGCTATTGCTGTTGCTTGAAATCATTCCTGTTTGAGACAGGAAATGTGTACAGTAATAGTGTCATCCAGAAAAAACCATGGCAGAAAGGTAAAATTTGGACTACATTGAAAACTATTTCTTGTCTCTTCTCCCTGGCTTGTCTTAGGTTGAAATCGATGGCAAACAGGAAGTCGTGGTGTATGACCAAAGCTCAACAGATCTGGCTACTGTCCCTCCCGATTCCTTCTTGTGTCTCCTGCTGAGAAAATTGGAGAAAAGCTTCAGCTCTGTTCACCTGCTTGCAGGTAGGATTCGCGGCTGAACACCTGAGCAAGGACACAAGGGATTGCACCAGTCACTCCAAAGAATAAGCGCGCATAACTTCTGGCACTGAACTTGTTTTGCCGAGCTGTGTCCTTCCTTTCTCTTTTCAATTTGAAGAAAATGCTAATCTTAGCCAAGTGGGCTATTATGGCAGTTCAGAAAGAACATGGAATGGATCTGGCTTTCCCCTGCTTGGCATTAGGTGCAGCAGATTAAAAACTAGGGATAGGCTTTTCATATTCTGTTATTCTAACCTACAAGCAGGGGTGGGATTCGAAAATCTCAACAACTGGTTCTCTGCCCGGTTGCTGGGTGGGCCTGGCCATGGTGGGCGTGGCCTACTGAAATTCCAGGAGGGCCGTTTTTCACCTTCCCCAGAGTCCGGAGGCTTCTCTCGGGCCTCTGGGAGGGTGAAAACTGCCTCCCCTGGGCTCCAGAGGCCTTCCAGAAGCCAGAAACAGGCCCATTTTCCAGACATCTGGAACTTCTGGGAGGGCCGTTTTTCACCCTCCCAGAGCCTCCACACGGACCCTGTAGTTACCTGCATCCAAAATGGGCCACACAGAGACTCCTGGGAGGGGCGGGGTGGGGTGGGCAGGGCCAGCCGGTCGGTTCAACTAACAGTTCAGCAAAAATTTAACATCCGGTTCTCTCAAACCGGCCCGAACCGGCTGAATCCCACCCCTGCCTACAAGAATGAAACAGCATTTTCTGGAATCCCTGTCACATCGGCTTCTTGACTTGTCCTATCCCAAAGGGCTGACATCAATCTCAAGAGCCTGCATACTGCCCTGAATGAAAAACACCCAATCCAATTTGAACTTGTCAAATATTTTTGGGTGGGGAGGGTGGAATCCAGGAAAATGGCTTGTCAGACATGCTTTCTTCCTACCTTTGGTAAATCTGCTTTGGTCTCTTACAGTTGGCATATTTGCCTGGCTTTAAATTATTTCTCCCACCCAATTTACATTTTGGTATAATATGCCACAGCCTCTTACACCTGAGTCATTCTTTAGGAACCAAATAAAGTTGGGGTCTCTGTATAAAGTTGTCAAAACAGACCTAGGGGGGAAAATGTGATGGTGGGGGAGATGGGAAAAATGTAACCTTCAGCCACATTTGAGAAGAGCAATTTTTAAAACATTCTTGGGAGAACGATTAAGAAAGGAGAAAAACTGTCCTCGCCTCTCTTGAGATTGTGCTAACTGCTAAACTGTTGTTTTTAAATGTTGGGTGTAGTGCCTCTGTTTTTAAATTAATGAGAAAAAAGAAAAAAACAAACTGCAGTGTCAACAACTGTTATCTTTTCAGTCCAAGGTTGGTATGTAAAAGGGTCAGCTATTACCCAAACACTGTATAGATTACAAGGCTGGAGGAAATTAAACAACAGTAACATTTCATTTCCTCCTCGGAATGCCTTGAACGCTTTTCCGTCATGGCAGCTTTCTAGTCTTCTCTTAAAGAGTTTTTAAGGCCCAGATTAACACAATCACGTGGCCTGTCCCGTGTGTACAGTCTTTCTTTGGCTCTTATCTCTGGAGGGCCTGAATAGCCTTATCTCAGCAAGTTGATGACAAACTCTTTAAATGTTTGAGTTCAAGGGTCACTGAGCCGTACAAAAGGCAAAGAGTAGAGAAGGTGCAATGGGTTCTCCAGGCTGAGCTGTTGAAAACACAGGGCGAAGTATTTTAGGGGCACAGAGGACAAAGAAACAGGGAAGGCAAGAAAACAGCCTTGTTTATTAAATGTCTGTGGAGATTCTCAGTCATCCAGGTCAGGCTTGTTCCAAAGGTGCTTTTTCAAAAGGCATGTCAGAGTGTTTGCAGCATGACTGCTATTTTGAGACAACCCAGGAGCACAACAAAGCAGACTGAGGCTTTGTCTTTTAACAGTGGTTTATATACAAGACTGCTATACACATACATATATGTGGTAGGCACATACCGGGCAAGAAATCTATCTTCATTACTCTGCAGGAAGAACTACAATGGAGTTAGAACACAAGGAGAGAGACATACACCCTCTCATGGTCTCTCTTATATAGACAACTTCTTAAAGTGGCAATACGCTGCTGTCCCAACCTCACTCTTAAAATGGCAATACCCTGCTGACTCATTCTCATTGCATCAGCATTTACAGCTGGTCAGCTATTAAATCTTCAATACCTCAACAAGGCAACTGGACTTCCTGTTTTTTCTTTGAAGATGTTTCGCTTCTCATCCAAGAAGCTTCTTCAGCTCTCCAGAGCTGAAGAAGCTTCTTGGATGAGAAGAGAAATGTCTTCAAAGAAAAACCAGAAAGTCCAGTTGCCTCTTGAAAAAGCACCTTTGGGTTCATTAAATGACTTTTCCCTAATATTTATGTTTGCTTGGTCTGGGCTGCTGTTTAGTCTAGATTTTCTCCAACAAAGAAGCATGCAGATAATGGGTTTGTCTGGCCTTGGAATAAGAGTGGTAATATAGACTGAATTTCATCAGATTTGATAGTGAAGTTGTTGACGGTGTTCGAAAGATTGAATTACAAAGTTGGGAGCTTTGTAGCAGAAGACTTGAGTTAGCCTATAATGGCAAAACATCAGAAGGATCCAGAATCACCGTTTCTGATTATCCCAGTTTATTAAAAAAAACAAACATATTTTTGGTGAGCTTATGCCCAGAAGTGGTATTCAGCAGGTTCTGACCAGTTCTGGAGAATCGGTAGCAGAAATTTTGAATAGTTCGGAGAACCAGCCAATACCACCTCTGACTGGCCCCACCCCCATCTATTCTCCGCCTCCTGAGTCCCAGCTGATTGGCTGGGTCTTCTTTAGTTGCCCTGCACAGGAGAACAGAGCTGGAAAGCAGGTTAGTGGGTGGGGAGGGAATGGAGATGTTGCAGTATTCTTCCCTTGCCACGCCCACCAAGCCACGCCCAAGCCATACCCACAGAACCGGTAGTAAAAATGTTTGAATCCCACCACTGTTTATGCCTGTTTTATCAGATTCCTTTCAGAAGTTAGAAGCTATGTGCTAGCTATGCTGTATAAAATCTGATGTAGATGAACCGATTTTTCCCATGATATACTAAATTTTATTTGTCCGTAATTTATGTTTAGTTTGTACTTGGGCATCATCTGTAATCAAGTCCAACATCTAAACCACCAGCACCAAAGAGAATCTAATAATTCAGAACTTCTCTGTGATATATTAACACCTTGAAAAAAATTAGAGAGTTGTTATATTTCACCAACCCCCCCTTATGACTTTTGATAGAAAAATCTTAACTTCAACAGTCACAAATTAAATAAAATCTTTTGAAGGGTCAGGATGGAACAGTTAGTCCAGAAAGAATCAGATTATATCTCTTTGCTGGAATGAAACATCTAAAGTAACAGGAAAATGTGATGCCTTCGAAGAGGAAGAATGTGTAGTCTGTGCAAAATCTGCCATTTGTTTAAACCAAATGAAACTCTGGTGGGTCAATAGAAAAAACAAAAAAACAAAACTAGCATGATTCCAGTTAAATTCCAAGAATTTGGCCATTAAAAGATTGAAAGATGAGTAATAGCGGAATCGTGATCCAGAGCGATTGGAGATTGGCATGTGTTTCTTGGCTAATTAAAAGCATCTATTTCAATTCCCTAACTAATGAGAATATGTAGACTTTGAAGCCTTGGAATTTTATGCTAATTGGTGGACTGCTGGGGTTTTTTTTCTCCATGAGATCAAACTAAAATCAGGTCTGATTTTCAACAAAGGCAGAGTGAACTGATGTTTTGGGCTGTATGACATATATTTTGACCAGATGCTATCATAGAAATTCCTGGCGTTTAGTTGGGGAGATTGATTCAAAGTCTACCTTGTTCTTTTCCTGACATATTTTTTCCTGAGACAGATAATCCCAAAGTCCCCCACCAGAACCAACTAGCATATAACTTGCCAATTATATTCTGGAGACTAAGAGGCCTAGAGTTAGCAGGGTCAATCCCTGTGGCTTTATAAAATATGGAATAAGAAGAACAGCCATGTCTCAGTCCCCTGGAGAAGTGGGCAATTTTATCAAAAAATATTTCAAAAGCACATCGCATTCAGCCGCTGTCCTCTCAAATCAGCATTAATGTTTGGGTTTTTTAAAAAAAACTCTGCTAGGACCATCCCAAGGTTGAATTGTGTTTTTATTTCAGAAACTCAGGAGTAACCTCAGATGTAATGCTTGTGCCGGAATGATTCAAAACAAGCTTCGTGGTTTCCTGAGAGAGGGATCTAGCAGGCTAAATGAAGTATAACTGGGCTAAGATGACCTAAGCTAGCTTGCCAAAACATGTCAGTATCCCTGCAGTCCACAAAAAAAAAACACCCTAATGACTTCCATAAGTTCTGGATAATAGCCTGTTTTGTCCTTCAAAAGAGATATATGGGGTTTTTGTTTCCATATCTTGTAGCTCAGGGGCCTTCAAAGTTGGCAACTTTAAGACTTGTGGACTTCAACTTCCAGAATTCCTCATCCAGTATCCTCAGCCAGTGATTTACTTAACATATGTGACAAGAAAGGTCGTAAAATGAGAAACTTCAGTTAACATGTCTCACTTAGCAATAGAAATGTTGGCCTTAATTGTGCTTGTAAATTGAGGATTACCTGTATAATGGTTAGCAGTGTTGAATTCACTCTCTGAATATTTCATTTGTGTAGGTTGGGGAGGTCAATGTAAATAAAAGATGGACTTAACTTTCAGAAGAATTGTCAGTATCTAGTGGACATGAAAGGACAGGACAGAACAGAGTTGGAAGGTCTTCTAGATTTAGTCCAACTCCCTGTTGAAGCAGGAGAACCTATACCATTCTGGGCAAATTACTGTCCAGTCTCTTCTTAAAAACCTCCATTAATGGAGAACCCACAACTTCTGAAGACACGTCGTTCCACTGATTAATTGTTCTAACTGTCAGGAAATTCCTCCTTAGTTCTAGATTGCTTCTAATAGCTGGAATATCACCAGTTCCCCAAG